ATTTACTTATAAAATTTAAGTACGTCAATTAATTTGATCAATAAGTCTGCAATTGTAAACGACATGTCGGCCGACTGCTATCAAAATTATTCGGAATTGGTCCCGGCATTAAAAGTTTAAAAGCCCAAAGTCTAGTTTCTTTAACTTCACATTTGCCTAAATTTTTATATACTATACACAATATGTTACTTTACACCCTCACACACGTGTATGCTAATTTTAACATACAGTATTATACACATACTCAAATGCAATTTTTGTAGTCCTAATTTTGTGCATAGTTATGTCCGAAAATCACAAATATTTTAAATGGAAACCTGAAGGTTGGAATATTATTGATTATTTAAACGAATGTGATTTAGAGCCATTTGATTTAAAGTTAGACAAATATATACACCACTACTTTACTCAATCATACACACAAACTATTTGTAGCACCGAAGTGGAGATGGTAATAGCGACATTTTTTAAAATTTTAACCTATATACTTAATATGAAATATCTCTGGTTAAACCAACAGCTGGATATATCGGACAAATTCCTTCATTTTGTTGAGGTGTCGATATAACCAGAGTGACGTGCATTAACTTTAAAAAAATGTTGACTCAAAATCGATGAAATCAATGAATTTATTTACATAAAAAATTAAGCTGTTTTTTCTAACAACATTTGTCTAAAACCTAAAACTCATGTAATACATAAATGTATCAATACAAAATAATAAATCAATAAAAGACTTTCGAAGAAATAAGAATAGTACAGTACAAAATGTCTATACCAAATATTGATAGAAGATAAAATGCACATAGATATAATTATCAAGATTATAAAGTACCAGCCAATTGTTTTAAGATATTCGTTTTTTCTTCTGGATCTAAATGTTCTAATAATGAAGATATTCCATCTAAAACGGCCTGTATATTGGTCTTTCCTAATTCAAATATTTGTTGAGCTATTGCTTCGTTTCTTATACTTTCAATTCGCGATTCAATTAATGACAACGATTTACTAGATGTTTCACCACCATCAGTATCATTATATTCGACGTCAATATTATGGGTATTTGTTTCTAAATTGCTAAGCATTTTATCGAACCAATACACAATTTCAACATCTGATTCCTCCCAATCTAATTCTTCTCCAACATCATCGTAAAACCATGTAGCTAAGTAACCTTTCATTTGGGTCTTTGAAAGATTAGGATTAGCAGCACTCAATTTTTTAAATATATATTCTTCATGTAACCGTCTTCTCACACGCCAATAGAAAAATCTTCTAGCTTCTCGCCATTCCAAAACTTTCCTAATTGTATTTTTAGCCTTCATTCTACCAGGTGTATCGTGTAAATCTGCAAATTGTAAAGCAATTTGAGAATAAACAGGAAGTAATTCATTTTCTCGAGCCTCCAAAAGCATCTTAATTTCAGATTTTTCCATCTCAGTTTTTGAAGGGTCTTCTAACGATTTTTTAAGATTACGATATGTTTCATCTAAACGTTCCATTGTAGCAAGTAGTTGAGGTTTTCGATATTTGATCTCAACAATTCCCTCAGGTTCGAGAACACCAGCTCTTGATTTTGCATCAGCATACATTTCCATCATGTCTTCATTAATTGATGGATCTACTACCACCCACGCACCTCCACGAAGCTCTCCGTTTGGTACAATATAGACAAAAACGGGTTGTTTGTAATTTGTGAGTGCGTCGACAATATATGAACCATACTTCAAAATTTCTAAGAACATATCACGTTGACCACCAGAAAATCCACGCCAGTTTGCAAAGATCATTAGAGGTAACTGTTCACCTTTGTTAAAATCATTAATAGCTTGTGCAGTTTTATAGGCTGAATTTGGATACCAAACTTGACCTGCTTCTTTCATTACTTGCTGTTGAGATTCGGAATTAGCAGGATCAGCGGGAACTATATGTTCTACTACGCGTGTTTCAACCGCAATTACACCCATAGGGACTCCGCCAAGCCGCGCACGACCAACAACAACTGTTTTAGCCCAATTACCAAGCGTTTCTACGAATGAATTACGGTCAAAAAATCCACTAATCCATTTATCGGATTCGTATTTTCCAGTAATTAACCAACGAGGGTCGTACGGCCCTTTAGGTGGCATATAATCAATCTCTCGGTCCCAAGTATCAGAATTGGGAAATATGGGCACAGGTAAACTTTTAGATGCCGGTATATAAGAGAGCCATTGAATAATCTTTGTAATGCCTTCCAAATCATTCTGAGCAGTAATATGAGATACACCATTTCTGTACATAATTTGTGTACCTCCAAGCTGTAGGTTTGATGTGTAAACTTCTCTACCAAGCACCTTATTTAAAGCTGATGCACCTGTAAGTATAATTGGTTGTCCTTCATTCTGGATTGTTCGCTGACCAAGACGGACTAAATATGCGCCGATGCCTTTAAATAGAAGATCAATAATGAATAATAATTTCAAATGATAGTTAAATCTGCACCAGAGGCCCTTTTTTAATACGTACCAACCGAACGGCAAGTAACGAGGGTAATAGTAAATATATCTTCGTATGCACGCGAAGTTGCACCAGCTATTAATCCTGAACCTTTCAAAGACTCTACACCAAGTCCGTCAGTAACGCCTATAATGTCACTTTATAACAAATAGTCAGTTAAAACTTCATTCTTTATTTTTAAAAGAACCTCTTTAAGAACAAGAATAAATTAATTACGTGATTTTATATCGAACATCACCGTCTTCAACTAATTCTTCAACAATTACAGATTTTTGCCTATTCTGGTTCAATTGCTTGTAAGTTTCAGAATCAAGGTATAGATAATTAACTCCTTTACTAGGATTATTTTCGTCAACCCAGGAAACTTTGAAATGGTTAATTATCTCGTCTGCCAACCCAATCCTGGCTCCAGAATTAGCTGAAAGATATACTCTTGGGATTCCCAACTTTCTTGCAAGTTCTGTAGCTTTGGCAAAGAATAAATCTTCAGCAGGACCAAATGAGCCGATTTGATATGTAATATCATTTGCAATTACAACAATTTTGCGGCCTCTTGGATATTCTGGTGTAAATAATGTAAGCATCCATGCTACCATACCAAATGAATTGGTACCAGGAGAACGATCAACTTCTTGCAGTTGGCCTTTTTCATCTATAACTAATTCTTTAGCCTCTAGTATATCTGTTGGGCATTTCAATTCAGGACAATTATGAATAGCTCGATTCCATTGTGTACGAACTGCTTGCCGGAATAACTCGGGAAAATCGTAAACATATGTAGTACCCATAAGATGAGCTTTAAAACGTCTTGGTTGCAGCCATTCTTTGGTTGAATAAGGAGTAAGTGTTGGTTGCAGGTGCATAGATCCTATTTTTCCAATTGATTTAAGAATTGTAGTATCGCCCTCAGTTTTGACCTCTTGGTAAGTCTCTATTTTAACAACATAACCAGAAACGTTATTGATGATTACGCGAAGAGGATATTGATTGCCTTTTATAGGATCTTCAACTTTAAACCGAGCTTCAGCACCAGTAACACGCAATCTCCATAACCTTTTTCCATGCCTGTCAATAAAGTTTTTAACAGCCTCTTCGATTTGACGTGGTTCCAAAACGAAAGTTGGAATATAATTTATGAATAAATGGTTACAGTCTGAATTCTTGTGATTAGAACTAACGATTTCAAGGGTATCTAAAATTTCGTTCAAAAGCCGATCGGATTCTGAAAGGAGATATTCTGTATGTACGCTATTTCTGAAGACGCAAATTAAAAAAAGCTTGAGTATAAAAACTGATACAAAAAACAACTTATTTAAATGTTTGAAATAAAAACCTCATGCGGCCAGATCGAACTAAAGCACGAACAAAGAATCTGCAGTCCGAGGTGTTTTCTTTGCCTATTGCATAATACACGCGAATTTGCCTGTTATCAGTAGCGCAAGGTTTGATGTCAAATTTAGATAACCTTGAAAGTTCAAGCTAGTTTATAAAATGAGAAAAATTATTAAATAAATATATAACTTGATAATTCGAATATTATATATTTAAAAACATAAATCTTCTTACTTCATATGCCATGGCTGGTTCAATATGTCGAATGGTTTGATCTTCAGCAAAATTATTGGCTTCGCGAAAAGTAAAATAGCCCGGATACTGGCCTTTTCTGAACAAGACAATTGTGACACGTTTAATTCCGTGTTCTCGGAGCTCAACTGTATGACGCTGAACTATAGGCTGTAAATCCCTTTTAAGAATTTCATCTTCTAATGGGTCATCATCCAATCTCAATGCAATATTAATGATATTATTGGCAATGCTATCTGTTAGATCTTGTGCTCGACGTCCATTTTGACGAAATACATCGAAAATACGTGGAAAGTTTTGTTCAATTTCTGCGTTAGAAGTGCACGAAATCATCACACCAACGCGGACATGTTCATCGTCGTTGTCTGTGCGTGAGGTTATGTAGCTTAAATCAGATATAGATACAACACGTGACATACGGTAGGGTGAAGATTGTGGCTTTAATGGAGATAATGGTTTTGTTGTCTCTGGGTTATTGTTTTGAAGTATAAACTTCCAGGAAATCATATAAGGAACTTGTTCCGGGTAATATTCAAAGTCCATAAGTTGATAAACACGATATGCACGTCTGGCGTATACTTCTAATGCAGCAAGACTAATCCATGCATCATTATGGTAAAAGAAATTTGGCAAAACGTCAAATACTGCAAATCGCGTGTCAATAAGTTCTTTGAGAGAATCATAACTTGGAGTACGATAGTCATAACCATCGTCACCATAATGACTCTCAATAACAGCTGCTTTAAGAATTTGTTCCATCTGTACAGATCGTTCTTCATATGATGGTAGTTGACAATTTATTAATAATTCACGAGCTTTAAGTGAAACACTAGTCGTAGCTCTTCCCCGAAGTTCGGCCAACTTTTTTAGTACAGGCGAGAAGTACTTGTCAAGAGCATGTCCTACATTATCGGACTTAAGCTGATCCAACAAATTTATGATCAGACTGTTTTTTGCACTAACTTTTGAATGTGACAAGACAATTTTAATCACTTTATCTAGATCGTTCTTATAAGTGTCACGCAGAGCAAGGATAACCTCCTCTTCACGTTTATTAGAGTCCGAAAATAATGCTTCAACTTCATGATACTTATTCAAAAAGTATATTATTTCACTCCATTTACGGTATTTAATCCCCGACATGTATCGATTGATAACCTCCATTAAAGGACTTATTGATGATGTAAAAGTTGAAGAATCACCAAGAGCAACAAAATCTCGCGAATAATTATCGATCAATTGTTTAAGATGTTTTGCAGGAAACTCGTGATCTTGTTTAGCAGTTTCATCTTGCAGAGTAGCATAAAGCTTGGTTGGAATCCTTCCGGGAAGTGTTGATAAAACAGAATTAAATTCCAAATAAGGCAGTTCAGGATTTCTAAGAAGATCGATTATTTCTTTAACACTACTTTGTAATTTTGTGTGATCATCATAACCGTCCAAGATGTTTTCAAGATTCTGTTTAACCTCAACGTATCTTTGATGAGCCTTGTCACCTATTATAACTGGTGGGCTCATTAAAGGAAGCTGGCCTTCATAAGGAGCTGCATGACGAACATGACTTGGATCATCTAGAGTAAGAATACCAATAATATCGCCAGCTTCAAGTGTTGAATTTGCTTGTTTTATAAATTGTACGACACCATCTTCAGTAACAATCAAAGGCATATACATTTTCATCACCTATACATCATAATAATATATTTTATCAGTAATTATCAAAACTACAAATAAAAGGTTTTTTGACTAAAAATTATACCTCTATCTCAGCATAAGCATCACCACTATGAACGTGAGCGCCAGATTCAACCAAGAACCTTACAAGTTTTCCAGGAGATGGAGAACGAAGTTGGGTTGGATCATTTTCTTGTTCTAACAAACAAGTTTTACCATCAATCATCAAACGAGTCGCTTGGACCTCTTCACGGAAATAACACGTATGACTTTTGCCATCCAATAACACTAAAAGACCACCATCTGAAAGAGCTCGGACTGAAACTTGAGTCTTAGAACCATTTAAATATAGAATGAAGGAATAAGGAGCGGACTGCATAGCAGTAAATTTATATTGAACACCCTCATATATAAAATCAATGGTAAAAACAGTTTGTAAAATATCCTTGCTAGGAATCTGGCCTTTTTCTAAGAAACGTTTATATTCTGCTAAAGATTCTTGTGACTTAGTGTAAGCTTTCGCAACCGCACCACACATAATAGCGAGCATCTTGTCTGGTCTCTCTACCGTTAAGTGTTCAGCAGATATCAATGTGTCCAACCATCCTGTTGTAAACTTATTTTCCTCAAACGTATTTGTCTCTAGCAATTTTATCAAATATTCAACAGTAGTTCTAAAGTCACCACGAATCGATAGTTCTTTAAGAGCAATTATCATGTTTTTGCGTGATTGTTGTCGATTTTCGCCATAGGCAAAAATATGACCAAATTGAGAATCCGCAAATTCATGAAGACCTCCAGCGGAATTTACCGAAAAGTAACCCCAAACATTAGTACTACTTCTGAAATTTAATTCATGTACCATTCCACTACTAGGTTTGAAACCAGCATCAGGATTTTCAGCGGTAATTCTGACAGCAATTACGTGTCCTTTAGGAGCAGGTTTTCTTTGTGTTTGCAAGGATTCCGGTTTTGAAAAATCAAAATCAATTTCTGACGTACCATTATGGTCCAAACCATAAAGCACACGTATGTCACGAATTTGATGAAGAGGTATTCCCATTGCTATTTGTAATTGAGCAGCAGGTAAATTTACACCAGAAACCATCTCGGTAGTTGGGTGTTCGACTTGTAACCTCGGATTTAATTCAAGAAAACAAAAGAAATCATCATCAGAATAAAGATATTCTACTGTGCCAGCGCTAACATAGCCAACTAACTTAGCCAATCGAACAGCAGCTTGTTCCATGGCCTTAAAAGTATCGTGGTTTGCTATAGTTACTGGAGCCTCTTCAATAATTTTTTGATGACGCCGTTGTACAGAACAGTCACGGCCAAATAGTGAAATTGCATTACCATATTGATCAGCAAGAACCTGAACTTCTAAATGGCGAGCATTACCAGCAAGTTTCATGATGAAAATTGGAGAACCAGGAACTTCACCTCGAACTTGTGCAAAAGCCTGTTTGAAGTTCTCAGGATTCTCAACTTTACGTATACCTTTGCCACCACCACCCTCTGAAGCTTTGATCATAACCGGAAACCCTATTTTATTAGCTCTGATCAAACCATCCTCAGCATCCTTTACACATGCTTTCTCAAAAACATCATCTGGAACCATAACATGACCATCATCATCAAATTCAGTCTCATTAATACCACTACCACTCCACTCCATCGTAGGCACATTAGCCGATTGAGCCACGATGGTTGAAGATATTTTATCACCAAGAGAACGCATAGCAGAACCAGGAGGGCCTATAAATACGATTTTATTTTTACATTGTGCAAGCGCTTCAGGTAAGCGAGGATTCTCTGATGCATGTCCCCTAAAATAAGGTAAAACAATTTAAATTGATAAAAGTTAGATTTAAGCAAAATTTCAAATGTTATAATTCTCACCATCCTGCCCATACAGCATGAACGCCTGTTCGCTCAGCTATATCGACAATTAGAGGTACGTTGGCATAATTATTGTTATTAGAACCACCAGGAACTTCAATGTATTGATCGGCCATTCGAATATATTCAGCGTTTATTTTCAAATCTTCAGGTGTGGCCATAACAGTGAATTCGATAGAACGTTCATCTCCAAATATCTCATAAGCCCATTTTCTGATGGAACGAATTTCTTTTACGGCAGCGATGCCATTATTTGCTATTAGAATTTTTGTGATAACTGTATGTCCATTATGTTTTTCGACGAATTCTCGCACGTTTCCTCTGGGTGCTACTTTCAAATTGTTCCACCCTAATCAATCAGAATAACATTTAATAATGATATGAAAATGCAGAAGAAATACTCGATTAATCAATGGTTAAAATTGGAACAAAAAAAAAAATTAATGATATACATAACATACCAATGAATTTTTTGTCAACTCCTTTTTTTTGGTTCATTATTTCTTACTTTCTTTTTTCTTTCCTTTTTTTTTTTTTTTTTAAATTAAAGAAGCGGTTATAGAATTTTAAAAAAATCTAACGATTATAAAAAGAAAGTAAGAAATTAGCAGATTAAATTGAAAAAAAAGATCGATTTTTTACCATATTTGACACCGGGTATTTATGGCTGCCAAAATTTGGGGAGAGTGGCAGATAATATTTTCACTGCTCATCTATAAATAATTCATATGAGAGCTTATGATACACAGTAACGATAAATAAAAAAAGATCAAGGCGATAATGACAATGTAAACGCTAACTGTAAAAGTATATTAATTATCAGCTACTTCCATAAGAGGGATATAATCATAAGAATACGCATTCACGCAAGAATAAGAATTGTTTCATGTGACATTGTTCTACCTCTATTTATACCGGTAATCGCATGCACATGGATAGTTAATGTCTGAAAATAATGTAATACCCGCTCTATTTGGTACCGATATATTACGAATAAACAACATTGGTCTTATCTGTTATGTACGTACGTACGTACGTACGTACGTACATATAAACGGACCGTAGTACGTACGTACGTACGTACGTCACATTAATGTAATTATGTGAGATCTGTTAATCGAAACGGTCCCTTCAGATTTTTTGCTTAAAAAAAAAAAAAAAAAAAACTTTATTATATTTATAAACCTATAATTAGTAAAACTTATTTTGTTTAATGCATACAGTCGTATTTTAAGGATTCCTAAGCTTGCCACGTTAACGGCAAAAAAATTTAAGCACACCAAATAAAATAAGTTCATAGAAAAGTTAAAAGATATCTATTTTTGTTATATTGATTTTTTTTTTGACCAAAATAGTCTTTTTCCAAGAGACTTTTATAGTCTTAAATATGAATTAAAAAGGCATTAAATTCGGCAAAAAATAAATAAACTAGTTAAAATATCGATATAATTTGGACCGTTTAAAATTTAAATCGACTTGTCAAATTTAGATTTACAATAAAACAGTTTAAAAAATTTAATAGCTTTTTTTTATCAATATGTCTATATATATACAATAATAAATTTACGCCATTATGTATAAAAGTTTCCAAATTTTGTCGTATTTAATAATAAGTACTCAGGTATAATTTATTAATCGTCGAGTCTACGAACAATGCAGAAAAGAAATTTTCTTGTGAAAATTTCAGTATAAACTAAGCCTCATTGTGGTCACAATCCTAACTCCATTTGAATGTTCAATTGTGGAAGATTGATTGTTCAAATTATGTAGATCAGTGATGAGCTAGAGCGCAGAAAGCGATTTCATGAGTTACAGGCGATTTTTTTAAACACATGATTTTCACGCGGTGTGGCTCACTTCACCGACACTCGTTTCGTAGACGTAACATTTCACCGAACTTAATTCACCGATATTTTTGTTTCGCCGACACTTATTTCACCGAAGCTCATTATGAATCTTGCTTGTCATATATATTTAGTTTTGCATTCGCATTCTCATCTCCGGAAGCAACGCGGTTATTGTCATTAGGGTCAGGTTAGAATTAGAGTTAAGGTTAGCAGAATTTATGAAAAAAATTGTCGGTGAAATGAACTTGTCGGTGAAATAAGTGTCGGCGAAACAAAACTGAGTTACGAAGAGTGAGGCGTAACAATTTTCACGTTACACCTGAATGTACCCTAATTGGTAGTGTTATGTGCGACTCACGGCCAATGTTGATCAGACCGAGCCGTTATTCGTGCTGTCAAGTCAATACTCAGACAGTCTCCGTGTATTTTTCTTGATTATTAAGAATTAATTATAATATTCATAAAATTTAATCCAATCATTTATGTGATGAATTGTATAATTGTATTTGATTGATCAATTGCTAGCCTTAACTATGAATCGCTTATGAAACAGTTTCATAATAATTATAAATCACCATTGTATTTAATTGGTCAATTGTTTTCCTTAGCTGTAGATTGCTTATGAAACTGATCATGAAGCCGCGTAATATTATAAATCATTACGTGTGTCAATTTTAATAACCACAACATTCACGATTATCTAATTTGAATTGCAAATGAGCTGTCGCATAAGTAAATTCAAATTGTTGAAAACAGGTTTCCATAGGCACCTCATTTCATGGGCAATTGCAGACAATTCATAGACTTCGTTTCATGGACCGTTTATTTTATCGATAGCTTATTTCATAGACACTAGCGCTAGAGTTGGTTAGGGATGTTAAGTGGTGCGTCCGGTCCCTAAAAGTCCGGTCCAGGACTAGTTAAAATCTAGTTCACCCCTGTCAAAAACAAGTCCCACAGTAGTACCCTAGCGGTTTAATTTAGATTTTATACGTAATACTTTTTATTACAAACTCTACCCTTATTGATCGACAAAGTTGGCACTTAACTAATTTTAACTAATTCACCGATTGTATCTGTCATTGATTTCCTAATTAGCGAATTTTATTTAAAGTATCACCACTCAGGGTATATTGTTAATGATTCACATTTTATCGGACTTTATTTAAATGTGTCAAGAAACTCTATTCATATCATGTGGGTTTTGGACCAGTACCGAACTAGTACCGAACTAGTCCCTAAAAAGTCCGGTCTGGACCCTGTCCGAACCAGTTCCCCGTGGACCACTTAACATCCCTAGAGTTGGTCACAGAACTTTTTTTGTCAAATCTGAAAGTTTCGGGTTATAATTTCCGAAACCTCACCCGAACTCGAAACCCTTCCGAAACTTCTAAACATCTTCCGAAACCCGAAACTCCGAAACTTAATGATTTAAAAAATTTAGAAGGCTTATCAATTCGATAAATTGTCAAACGCTTAAGTGTTAGCAAATATTCTGTAAGTTAGGTTTTCAAGACATGGATGTATTTAAAAGCTTTGGTAACGCCTTTCGACAACGATTTTTTGGAATTTTGATCAGCAGATTTCATGTATCACAAATCTAGAAAAAAATACTAATCCATGATTGGTTAAAAAATTGATCACTTGGATTGGTATTAATCACATATCTAACTTTTTTTAATATTAGCACCTATTCGTGTGATATGTTTATTATAAAAATCAATTTTATATCCAGAGACTTTTTTATATTTCTTGTCAAGATTTATTTGTTGACAAGAACAGCCTTTCCCATAAATTTTCGCACAAACTAAGCACATCAAACATGCTGAGCAAGTATTCAAACGAAAGTTTAGTAATGTTGAACGTGTCAACATTACAATGATAAAATTATCTGTAAAACATGCAGGGACACGGAATACTTCCATTAAACCAAAAATTGAAGTTTGATTACTAACAAATTATTTCGGTCATGTTGGGAAGTATTTTGTGTCCCTGAAAACAAGCATATAATACAGTAATATATCTTTTATATTCCGATCATGCCCAAAATCAATAACTTAAACTGGATCTGCCAAAAAATCATTCGGCTAATTTTTTGTCAAATGTCCCAGAATTTATGAAAACAGTTGTAATATGTATGTGTTAGGGAAATAAATAAAAGTATCGGGGAAGTAAAACAGTTCAATAGATTATAATGTTTAAAGGCTTCGGATTATATCTGGGTTTCGAATGATAATTTTGGGTTTCGGGTTTCGGTTTTTTTTTTTATTAAAAAAAATCTGAGACTAGTTTCAGATTAGAGCTTTTCGAAACTGGTTTCGTTTCGAGTATCAACTCTAGTATAATTTACCAATGCCGTATAGGAAATGATAAAGAAAATATACTTTTACATTTATCCAATCAAATAGGAAAAAGAAACCAATAAGTAATAATGTAGTCATATTTTCTATTAATTATATCATCTAGTAGCAATTTGCGACGATCTAAAGAGCTAGACACGAGAACAAAAAGTGATTTGCTCGGTTTCATGAAAAGTTATTTTTAGATAAAGTCTGCGATTTTGAAAGAAGGATTTGCTACGTTCTTTCTTTATAGTACCCGACAAAAGTTACCCCATCTCTTAAATAATGCGTAGCATTTTATGAACAAAGAAAGCCTTAAATGTAGGTCCTTACATCTTCTACAGGTTGATAGGTTCTTTTAATAGATACCTACCATATAAACGTTATAAGAGTCCAAATATATACAGTATTATTGATAAATTTTTTTTAAACTTTATAAAAAATTTTCTTAACAATATAATCAATTTTGATGATTAAGTTCTCTTTTGAATTCTACAGTTTTATAGAATTTAAAAGAATTCTTAAATATTGAAATGGATTATTTTATTGTTGAGATGTAATTGTTAGAAGTTTATTAAAAAATTAAGTAAATTTTAATTTTTAACAAACTTTAACAATAACATCTTAGTAATAAAGTGATCAATTTTGATATTTTAAGATTTTTAAACTCTTCAAAACTAAAAATTTTAAAAAAAATTTAATTTTTTTTTTAAACTTGGCTAGAAAAGCTGGTGACACTTTATTAAATATGATTATAACTATGTATATAATTGTTGAACTATATTCCTAAAACTAGGCTATGTTAATTCAACTCAGAGTTTTGATATTTATTTGGCTGTCCTATTGGGTGCTCAAATATATCTACTAGCAATCAGAATACCTATCACCTGGGAAGACATTGTCATTAAACTACTTATCGGTAAAAAGGATCAGATCTGTATCTAATATTACTTTTGCATTCTGCAACTACTATATCTAGCTAAACTATATTTTCTGCATCACTCATCTTTTTGTTTCTATATAACTCACAATTTCACAAATATACAGAACAATTTTAGTTATATCTAGAGAGTTGTTATACTAACTTTAGTAATATTATATTATTATATTATATTTGTTCTTAGCATGTTGTCTACAAAACTAGAATAATTTCAGTATATTCAAAGAGTTATATTAATTTCAGTGATACTGTACTACCATTTGAATTATAAACCTCAGAGTTTAGTAGATTTTAAACTTGTTTATTATAAACTTCTATATAATTAGAAGCATCTTTAGTATTATAAAACAATTAGCTAAAGAAGATAATTTCATAGAGGCAGACTAGATAATTTAGTATATCTAAAAATATTAAATTAGAGTTTTAGTTATATTTATATAAAAGGTTTTGATAAAAAACTAGAATATACTAATAATAATATAATACCAATTAATAGATATAAGTTCAAGTTAGAAGTCAAGATAAATTAGAGTTTTTCTTCTATCCCTTAAACCGTCCAGCGGCCAAATATGCCCGCTAGAATATATTTTTTTATATTTTTTTATAATTGCTTAAAA